ACTAAACAAACTTTTATCAATATCAGGCACATAAAGAACATTTGAAATTATTTTTGTACCTGAATTTGTTTTAATTGAAACAGACCATTTTCCTTTTGCAGGATTACAATCACCATTCCCAATTCTGACTTTCTTATTTTCCATAGGAATGAACTCTTTAAAAAGATTTCTTTCATATGTCATGTGGTTTGTACAACCACTATCAATCATCCAAAAATCAGTTTTTTTGGTTGAAAATTCTTCTTCTTCTTCTTCTTCTTGAGCAATTGTTTCATCTTTTTGAAATTTGCTTCTGCAAATCACAGCTTTATGACCAAGTTGTTTGCAGTTCTTGCACTGTGCATCTGGTCTTTTTCAACATTTATATGGAGGATGTCCATTTTTTTCACAATGCTGACAAGGTGGGTAATTTTTCGAAAAATTACCCTTGCTGTGAGTTTTGTGGCTGGCTACTAATGCTTCTTCAACCATGCCATCTTGCGTCATAAGTTTCCTTTGTTCCTAAGCCTGCAAAGAATTTAACAATTCTGCCAAGGTAATTGTGGACAGATCTTGTGTGTTTTCCAAGGTAGTTATACATGCTGTATCTTTCGGGCACTATGACAAGAACTTTTTCAACAATTCTTGTATATTTGAATTCAGTGCTTAGTAATCTTACCTTGTTGACAATACCAAGCAATCTGTCAGAGTATTCCTTGATTGTTTCTGACTCTTTCATTCTCTGCAATTCAAATTCCCTGATTAAATTTAATCCTTCATTCCTCGTATTCTTTCATCTCGAGCATATTCTTTCTTCAGATAATTCCAAATATCTTTTGGTGATGTAAGAGTCATAATTTTCGTGAAAACAGCTATCGAAACATCAGCAAACAAAGTTATTTTTGCCTTCGACTTAATGGTTTTCTTTTCCTTGTGACTCTTGATCTGGGCCACAGTGGGATTATTTGGCAGGGGATTAATTTCATAATCCTCTTCCACGGCTTCCCAAAGATCAAGAACCTCCAAGTAAGTTTCCATTCTCACAGCCCATAGTTGATAATTCTCGCCATAAAAAATAGGAGTCATTCGTGAAAAACTATTTTCGGAATCCATTTTTCTACTCACAAGTCCCTCAAGAAGAAGGCTCTAGATATCAATTGTTGGCTTTTTTAATAAAGAAATTAAGAAAATAACAGAGAAAGACTTTGAGAGAAAAAATACTGCAGTATTATCAAAGGGAATTATTTTATTAATAATCAGAGACTTGCATTTATAGATATAATTCCTAACTAAAAATAGAAAAATAAGATGCTAACTTATCAGTTTAATTCTAAATAACAAATAAAAAGAAATAACTCCTAAATATAAGTCAAATAGGACTCTAAAAACATAATTTAAAACCCCTAAAAATAGCTAATAACTGTTTTATTTCTGCAATATCCTGAGACATATTCTCAACACTCCTTCTTGGACTATGAATTGTAGATTATAGTCTCGTCTGAAATTGACCTTGTGAACAAATCTGGTAATTCATCCTTTGCCTTACAAATTTACATTATCTTTTAATTATAAACCTAATTAAGTAAAAGCTAATTAAAAAACAAAGAGTCAAAGTCGTCTGAATATTTTTTGATTGATATAGCAAAATATTGTTATAAGAAATAGTAATATAACATAACATGATAATTATTATTTTTTTAAAAACTTTATTATTATAATAAAATATTATTATAAAGGATGACTATTACAGAGGAGTGTATGAAAATTATTTTTCTACATTTTCTTGCAAGGCTTGTGTGCATCTTCTGTTGGATTAAATGAGAAGCTCTTACCTCTCATTTCAACTTGTAAAATCTCTTGCGATTATATTTATGAAACACATTCTAAGGGTGGAGTAGGATATCTAATCATATCATCACAATAATCATAAGTTTTATAATTGACTCTATATTCATCATATAATTTTCTTTGTGAAGAACTCAACCTCCAATATTTTCTTTGGTTCCACCAATAACCTTGTGAATTGCAATTATTAGTATTTGAGTTAATTATTGGGCACCCACCAATTTTGAAATCTTGAAAATAGGCTTTGAAAGGTGCAAAAGACCAATTGGTCTTTGTTAATCCTCCATCTGTTGCCCAACCATCTCCATCCCATATTGTGGCTAGTAATTGCATTGGTTGTTTTGGATATCCAACTCCAATATTTTCATTGTTTTTGAACACCCTAATTGGAATATTGTCCACATAAAACCTGAAAATATTCAAGAAAACAAAATACAAAAAGATTTAATTTATATGCACTGATAATGTAAATACATTTTACACAACTATTACAATTAAGTTGATTGTGTCGGGGCTAACTTATGTGTGTCTTGTGTAATGTTACTGGATATATATGTTCTCCTTCACCAATTAATGATCACCAATATAAATATTGAGTAACTGTGTCTGTCAAGATTTAGGAATATAGCAAGATTGAAATTAACGATAAGAAATAATTAGTGTGTTTGGTATAAAAAAAATATTACTAATAAAAAAAAGGAGGTGGTGTTGATAAGCACTTTTTATTGAAAAAACTAAAATATCCTTAAAGCTATTTATATGGAAAATATAAAAAAAATGAATTTTTATATAAAAAAGGAATGAAAGATGGAAATAGAATAAGATATGATGAAAATTTCTAAAAGATTTAGAAAGAGTACTTCGGGCATTACAAAAGATGCTAAGGATTTAATTATAGAAAACTTGATCAAATCGAAAGTACTTATAAGTTGTAAAGTTACTTAGTTTAAGAATAATTAACCTATGATTAATTTTGGCTTATAAAGCACTTCTAATGTTATCAGATGTGCCAATAAGCCCAAAAGTGTTCATAAGGTAATTTTCACCCGTTTTTATATAAGCTTAGTCAAACATCTTCTAAGATTGATCGACAACACATGTTATAACAACATGGTAAAGAAGATTCAACTCAAATGAACAACATATATAAATCAAGTCTGTTATGGTGGAGTGGTAAGTATTCCTTCATTTTTAACAAAAGATCTCGGGTATGAGTCCTTCTAGGTATGAAGTCACTTTTATTAGGGACAACTTCACCTCTCAATGTGAGATTTTCTGATTCAAATTTGAATTTAATCAAGCCTCAACTTTGAATACCAAACACTAGGTGAAAAATAATTTATTTTTTAAAAAGAAAAACATATATAGTATCACACCTCCTATATATCATTAACAAGTCATGAAAGATAGAACGAATATACTATGTCTCAGCATTGGATCAAGAATATAGGGATTAGAAAAATCAAAATCCGCTAATTCATACCGACGTAAAAACATGCATTATATAACATAAATTGTACATAATTATCTTACACTATTTGATGTTCATTCCACATGATTTTATAATTGTGAAATTCTGCAGTTGGATCAAACCAAAGATGCACCCTTTGTTCTCTATTTCCACCACCATTTACAAACATATTTGTTTGCAAACTATATGGTTTGCCTTCTCTATTGCCCAAAAATTCAAAATCTATTTCATCATTATTGTTTGTATTTGAATGTAGCTGCAAAAAACATATGCAATTAATTCGTAAATATTTAATTTATAACTTGAATTTAACTTTATATACATTGATAACGTAAATTATGTTACACTATCAGCGTATTTTAATATGTCATAGTATGTGCTATGTACACTTATTTATGGACGGTTATTTGTCGGTTGCTTTTAGGGTATGTTTGATAGGAATTAAAAAAATTAATGAAAAATAAATAGTTATCTTACTTATTCTGTGTTTGACAATTAAATAAAAATATTGTTTCAAAAATATTTACACAAAATTAATTGAAGATAATATTATTTTACTTACATAAAAAGCAATAACAACTCCTGCTGAGTCTCTGTTTGGTAGTTTTATTTTCATGTGAACTGAACCATAATTCTCCTTAGATCCAATGCCAGATCCTATAAATAATTCAACAAATTAATTAATACTATATATAATTTACTAAATTAATCAAGTTATAAAAAAAAATCTCCTATATACTATTTGAAACGTGTTCTTTTTAACTGCTTAAACTTGTAAACATTTGGTTGATGCAAGATGTAAGAAAATCCCATTTAGTTAGACAAACACTACCAAAACAAAAGGATTTAGCGTCAAAAAGGATTCTATCACTAAATCAATTTAACGATGAATTAGCAAAAAATTATCGAAAAATTATGTTATCAAGAGGTATTTTAGTAACTAATTTTGTAGCTAATTTCTATAAAAAAAATTTGTAGTGAAATAAATATTGTTGCTACTAGTGCCAAAAACAACAAAATAAATACTTCCTTCGTTTCACTTTAATATTTGACACTATTTCCTTCTTAATGTGTTTCGATAATAATAATGACACATTTCAATATTTTCTTAATGATATGCTTATAGACAAATACATGTTATGACATGTTTCAAGCTATAAGTTTAAAAAATTATTATAATAATCACATAAATATTCTAACACATTTAAAGAAGTGGAGTCAGAATTTCAATTTTGTATGTTCTGAATTTTAAAACTAACTTTTTAAATTTATTTTGTATACATATTTAATGTATTTGCTAATACAAATATAATATTTGAGTAAAAGCTACAAAATTGTTGTATTCGGACTTCAAACTCCGCCCTTGCATATTTTGATATATAAATTTCAAAAGTTTTTTTTTTTCATTCTTAAACTCACATATCCAAACTATGACAAATAAATCGAAACATATGGAGCAACACATAATAACAAAAAAAATACCAGAAGATTGGTCCATTGAAATCTGAAGTTCTCTTCCTTGGTTGAAGGATACAACATGTTGATTCCCAAATATAATATTATAATTGACATCATAGGGTATATCTTTGGCTAAAGCTCCAAGTAGGAAAAGACCAAATAAACATACAAGTTTTATATAAAAATACATATTTTGCAACAATTAAAATAGAAAATAAAATAAAATTATATATGGTTGATGTAAAATATTCATAGTTGTTAAAGGAGAATTCTGGCTGGGTTTATTGAAGATGTTTGAAAAGCTTGTACTAGAGGGATATATATATTGGGTTTTTTTTGGTGGGTGGGGGGAGCTAGGAAAGGGTGTGTTTGGTAATGGAGAATTTTTCTATATTCGATCAATTGGTTATTATTTTTTCAAGAAAAACAATTTCTTTAAAATCAGGGCAATAATTTCCTCAATGTAAACAGGAAAATGATCTTTAGTAGCAATTAATTAACGGCAATAGCTTAATCATCGTTAAATATGTATTTTTAGAGGCAATTAGCACTCTTTGTATATGTTCATAAAGTCTATAGCGACATTGGATCCAAGGACAATTAACTAATGCTGATAAGGTTTTAGCGCTCTTTGTTAATTCAGAAAAAACATTTTCTTCGTACCAAACACACCCGAATACTTCACCCAAAATAAAGAAGAAAAAAATGGTAAAGAAGGAAAATATGGTTTTGTGTTGTGTGGTCGAAACCCTTTCCTTTAAGTCATATATAAATCCTAATTGGGCATATTATTTACATCAATATTGGAAATAAATTTCAAACACATTATGAATAAAGAAAATTGAACCAACTAAATTGATTGATACACAAAATCAATAAATAAATAAATTTTAAATAATGAATGTAAATATTATAGTATAACGTATTGTAGTAATTATAAGTTAGTTATCGTTTTTATTATAGTACATATTAACGTTTGTCATTAAAAAAAAAGTTGATCAATGTTGAATTGATTGTAACTAAAATATGCTATAGGCAAATTTATTTTTATAGTTTATATATAAATTCCTACAAGAACTTTAAATTAATATAATAATAATTTTAAATTAACAATTAGTTATTTATAGACTATGAATTTTCTAATATATATACATATACAATCTCAATAAAAGTTATGTATAGAGATTTCCAAGAATTAGTGCTCTAATCAAAATTCATCATTGTATAATTACTTCTTTTTTTCTTAATTTTTTTATCAAATATAATAATACTTTTTTTATCCTATTCATATTTTATTGTCATGATTCTTCAGTATATAAAACTTAAACTCATGCAAAGATATGACCATGTTTTAAGCCTCCTAAGAATGAAGGCAAGAGAAGTATGAGTTGGTCAACAATCTTTATCACTTCATTAATCACCCACAATTTTACACATCATAATTTGCTCATTTTAGAAATAACTTGAAGAGAAAATGAACATGAAATGGATATTAACTTTTTCTTGAATTGTAGTATCAATAATTAATCTAAATAGCCTCAAATTTAATCATTTATGTTTTAAAAAAATATAATATATATTTCATTTTATAGTGTTTGCACAACTTCTAAGAAAGACATTTAATAGCATTATATGTATTTGCTTTAAAATACTATTTATCTCTCCTTATATGTCTTACTTGCTAGATACTTTAAGGGTAGATTTAGGAGGGGGGGGGGGGGGGAGAATATATTAATTTTTTTTTTTT